AATAGGATAAGGCAAACATACGAGCAATCACTGTTACGGGCTTATTTCCGTTGGATTCATAGATCCTCGAAATGAATGCCTCGAATTCCTTTGAACGATTAAGCTGGTTAGTATGTTAAAATGAGAAAATGATGCTTACCTCAGAGGAATGTTGAAGCTCTCTTCTCCAATCGTAACTAAGGAATTAACAAGTTAAGGGCAAGAAAGCTTTCTTTTATATTTCTGCCGTCGTTTACTTACGCAAACGCATGGAAATGCATATCGCCACCTCGGCAAGCCTCCAAAGTCTTCATCTCTTTGATCATATCTCGGCAGATATTGAGCGGCCCCACCGACTCGATGATGCTATTGGAGATTCATTTAACAAATATGTCGAAATCAATGATCCAACCTTTCCGGAACGTGATCATCCTTTTGGCCGTAGGCAAGTCCCGGGGAGAGCGCCACATCAGCATGAACCAAGTTCCATACCATCTCCATGGTGATCCATCCCTTTGCATCCGTTTCCCTGTTGTTAAGGTTGCTTCCATAAAGACCAGGAATGAACACCACATCACCAGTCAACGCCCCAAAGGGATGGCGATGTGGGCAGTTCGGATGATTCGGCGGTCTTTCCTCAGACCCCGCTGTCCACGGAAATAAATTATCCATGGAGGGCAGAGTGGATGTCGGAAACAATGAAGGTGTTTTGGATGGGGCCGCAGGAACTGAGGTACGCTCAAAGATGGCCGATGACCTCCTTTGAGACATCCTTGGAACAGACGCGGTGATGGAATGGGAGAGATAATACTCTTCATCGTCTTCAGAGTCACTTAGGTCCTTAAAGAGTGCGTCAATGGCTGACCATGCAGATGCGAAAAAGTCTTGCATCTGAGACTCATTCTTCGACTCTTCCTCGCCGCTGAGGGAGGATATTCTGCGATGAAGTCCGAGATGGCTTTTGTTCTGGTACCCATGCCTGCCGTTCTCTGTGCAAGGGGTGGCTGATGCTTTCAAAGGGGAGTTTGGCGACGAAAGATCAGTGCTGGACATCCTATGCTGAGCGATGCGCCATACGGGCAATGGGACGAGCGAATTCAAAGCTGATGGCTCTAGCCGTCTTCTAGGCAGAGCCGATGCCCTCTTGAGCGCAAGAAAGGCAAGTGCCGTCGTCGGCAGATTATGCAATTTTAATAGAAAGGTCACTGTGTTGGCAAACAGTTCGAAAAGGCGTTCAGATGCAACGATCATGATTCAACCTTTCAACACCTGAACGCGTCTCAACTCGCAGCAGCCAGAGCTGCCACATCCGCCATTCACCCACCTCTCCAATGCACCTTCAACGGAGAGTGTTCATGCCCGTGTGGCCACATCACAATGCAAGGACCTGCGTGCGCTTACTGCGTGGCTTCAGTTGAGAACATATCTCGTGTTTTCATGGCAGCAAGTTATGCCTCTCAGTTGCTTACCACGTCAATGTCTTGCTACAATAGACAAGATTGCATTGCTGATGTTGAGAGTGCGAGGACATGAGAAAAGCAAGACTATAATACCAGCGCAGTCTTCAAAGGATGCCGGAAGAAGAAAACGGCTAACAAATGGGACAGCGAAAACATTGGAAGAAATGTAACGATGGCAACAGCGTACCGATGGGGGCTTGACCCGATATCGAAGAAAGAGCTCGTGCCAGCGGCGGCCCAGGGTGGGATTACCCTTGAGGGACGGGAACCATTCATTCGGTATATGTACTGGTAGGGCAGCAAAAACCTACCAGGGCAAAAAGCAAAGACCTTGAGGGGAAGGGAGCCATGACGAGTAATTAGAGGCAAGGTTGGCTTGACCTTTGACAGGATGTCATGGTGGTTTCGGTCTGTCAGCGGTGTGGAGGCAAAAAAGAGGAGAAGGGTTAGAATGCAAAAGGATATGCTCCGCACAGGGATCGAACCTGTGACCTTGGCGTTATTAGCACCACGCTCTAACCAACTGAGCTAGCGGAGCA